ACAACGCTATACAAGTACACTAACCGTTCTAGTCTACGTTCTGCTCCTCTAGTCAGGGGCATGAGCAGACCGCAACTACCACTCAGCCGCTCCTCCAGACACCTCTCACATGTCTCTGTATAATTCGACGTCGCTGGCATGAATACGAAACAACACAATATCAACCAATTGTATCTCTCTAAACAACTCAATACCAACCAACTGCAACTCTCTAAACAACTCAATACCAACCAGCTGCATCACTTAAAACAACTCTATACCAACCAATTGCATCTCTCTAAACAATTCAATACCAACCAATTGCATCTCTTTCAACAACTCAATGTCAACCAATTGCATCTCTCAAAACAGCTCAATACCAACCAATTGCATCTCTTGTATACAAATTAATATTAACCAATTGCACCTCTTTAGACTACTCAATACCAATCAACTGCATTTTCGTTCAATACAAAAATATTCACTGTCTTGCTTTGAGATCCCCCCTCTCTCCCTCTCTCTCTCTCTTTCGTTTTTGTTTTAAAAAGTATATATATATCAGTGGAAACGAGCGACTTAACGTGGTCAAATCACAGGTCATAGCGTACAAAACAAAATATTTGTTTTCTTCAATAGTCTCTTTGATTAAAAAAATGTTGTTAGTGCCTTTTTCAGAATCAAGGAGACTGTTGAAGAAAACAAGTATTTTGTTTTGTGCGCTATGACTTGTGATTTGACCACGTACAGTGGTAAGTTCGCAAAAGAGACTGACTATATATCAGTATTTCGATTGGAGGATATTCACACTATTCCTCGAACTGAATTGGGCACAGTCACACCAGCGTTGGTCAACAAAAAGTGTGTGTTTGATGTGAATGTCATCAGGCAAAAAAAAATCTACAAAAGGGGGTAGTGGTTTGGCGCGATCATATCTCTTTAAACAACTTAATACGAACCAAATGCATTTCTTACAATAGCTCAATACCAACCTATTGCATCTCTTTAAATAGCTCAATACTAACCAAATACATCTCTTTAAACAGCTCAATACCAACCAATTGCATTTCATTAAACAACTCATAACCAACCAATTACATCTCTTTAAACACCTCAATACCAACCAATCGCTTCACTGCGTTCTTCTACTCTTAGAGAACGGATACTTGATGCCCAACGAGGATGGCATGACCGCCTTTGTGAACCAGACCAGTCCGTTTATGGTTGGTGCACTAGTGACGGGCTGCGTACTTGGCTATGTTGGGCCAACGTAAGTAACTCTATAGTGCAACAGTGGTTTCATGATATGGCATGCAGGTGTCACAATGATGTCATGTCACGCCTATCAAATGTGTCAATGGTTGAGTTGTCTAAGTGTACTAAATGATGTCATGTCATGCCTATCAAATGTGACAATGGGTGGGTTGTCTAAGTGTACTGCAGGTGTCACTATTCCTCTAGCGACAACCTGTACTTTCTACGATCGACGTACTGATGACTGTATGTGTGCTCGGCTATGTGAGACCAGTGTAGATAGTCTTCGTAGCACCTTGCCCGTGTCTCTTTGGTGTCCTATCAGAGACTTGCAGGTGTCACAGTGGTGCCTTTGATGGAAAGTTCGGGACAATCCACAGTCTGCTGTAGCGATATTCTTTGCCGTTTGCGTGAGCGACATCTATGTTGTAAAAAGTAGCGAGTACAGTGAATAGCCGACCCATGCTTACTGTGTCCTGTTAGTGTAGTTTATGGAATGTGTCACATCGGTGTTATTTAGAGTGTGTGTCGTCTGGCGAAAGGTTTAGGGCGAGCCTAAGGGACTCGAACGGCCCTGTCAGCACGCATACATTCACACTTACACCGTCATATACTCATATGTATGTATGTACGTACGTATGTATGTATGTATGTATGAAGCGATCAACTGAACTTCATACTCCGTCACATACCTACTAGCGGATTCGCCGCGAACGCTGCCAGAGATCTTGCGCCGCGCTTCTTCCACTTTATCGCGCCCATTCCAAATAAGGGACCGTCAGAGTGGCACTACGCCTGGGTCCCAATTCTAGGGCCATACATTGGCGGTACTATCGCTGGTATGTGTGCTTGCATTTACGACACCTATGTTTGTATATATTGTTATGGATGTTTACTACTCGATAAACAGAAGGTTAGATCGAATAGGGAAGACTTATCGAGTGACACTACGCTTGTGTCAGTTTGTAAGCCCGTACGTTTACTACGTTGACTGCATCATCGCTGGTATGAGTAGGAGCACCAACAATACCGGCATACCATACTATTCACGTAGCACTCCGCCCCATTTAGTATCTGTGAGTAGGAACACCGACATTACCGGCATACCATACTATTCACGTAGCACTCCGCCCCATTTAGTATCTGTGAGTAGGAACGCCGACATTACCGGCATACTATACTATTCACGTAGCAGTCCACTTCATTTACCAGTATACGCAAGTGTGGATGTAGCATATCAAACCAATGAGAAGGTACCTCACTAGTCCACCCATTTGCTCTCCCGTCGTCACAGGTCTGTGTTTTGTCGGCACGAGGAATCTGCTCACATACCCCGCCTGGTCGTCGGCGATTGTATCACAACAAACAATGTTCGGCGGCTTGACGGATGTGTTTTAAAATTAAAACCAAGCCCATCTTAGCGAAATCGTATCACATTCATTGGCCTTCGGAGCCTTGAGTATAGTTCTCTGAAAATAGTGCGTATCGTGATAACACGGTATACCCGATTGTAATCCTACCTAGCCGTATGTAGTGTGCTTGGTGAATGTCTTCTGATGAGTTACTTCCTCGCAGAAGTGACTACATTCGTCAAACTCAGATGTTGGTCTGTGTCGCGTGGTAGCTTGTTCATTGAGTGTTGCCGTGTTCGCCTTCTGCAGGAATTGTATTTGTCCAGCATGGCGCTAGCAAACTATGTAGAAACACAGGCAGATGTACTTATTCTGAATATTGGGGTGTATCCTCGATTCTTTTGCGCCACAAAACAACTGAGGTGATTTAAACAGCGAAGCAGGCCGGACGGATGTAGCTCATAAAAATAATAAGCTTGTCGAGGGATTACAACCACCGACGACAGCTCTAGAACCTACTTCTAGGATTATACTGCCAGCTTTAGAACCTACTTCTAGGATTGTACTGCTAGCCGAATTGAGGATATCGACGGCTTGACAAATGCGGTTTTTAAGCCCCATGCCCTCGCTTCAGAGTGCATGGTGCTGTAGGTTTGTGGGGAAGTGGTTTGAACTTTGTAGCCCCACTTGTCACACGTCTCGGCAGTAGGAGCCTGCTCAGCTAAATAAATTCTAGAAGCCTGTGCAAACGATCGCGGTTTCTATTGAGGTGACGGGTAAGTGTACCTGTACGCCGCAGCGGCTTTTGGGTATTTGTGAGGAGTCGCAGTTGTGTACGTAGTGTGAGATGAGCATGTGTGACGTAGAGCTGGAGATGTCCGAATACGTCACAATATGTATGATTTGCTCTTATTTCCTACTGATAGTATTTATTTATGTGTTGGTGTGTCACCACCGGCTGACTACAACGCCAGGACGTGCAGGATTATAGAATGACTGGTCATGGGCATTGATGCAGTATCAATACCTCAGTAAGCTTGATTGCAGATCTGAATGATGAATACGACTCGTAAATTCAAAATTATCATGCGTCTTCTAATATAACAGTTCATATGGTGGTTACGACGCAGCGATGGAGAGTCCTTCCTAAATGGAATGGCTGACACATTCCCGTTTTTTTAGATGCTCTTTTTCACATGCTCATTTACAATCGATTGACAAAATGGTTGGCCCTAAAACAGACATAGCGCGAGAACAACATCGAAGGCATTCAAATGCTTATTGTGTCTATCACCCTGAGACTCAAGAGTCTCGGATCACGCGCATCAAGCTCAAAGACGTTTAATTCGTCAGATTTGTAGTGAAGTTCTTGTATAATCGCGAGTATTAGGTTTACATTCAGCTTAATACAAGTAGTTGTAGGGCCTTTTTACTTAGTAGCAAACATCCTGCTGTTCGCAAAAGGATGGGAATGGCGTGATATTGAACGAAAGCTAACGCAGTAGAACAATGCCAAGCTGCGTAGGAGACTAGTTGATGGTTAATATACATATGAAATACAGCTTTCCGTTGTCCAAGGTAAAAAACGTTAAGTAAAACTTTTAGATATCTAAGATACGGTAAATCGACATGAGATATCTCAAATTCATGGCCAGCAAGCCATAGCGTCACATTTCAAGCAGGGTTAGTGACATACGGCTAAAAGGAATGCAGGAAGAAGTACATGGCTGACATAAGGCGACGCAAGTATTTTCAAAATAAAATCATGTATTTCGCGAGTGATGGTGGTGATTTTTTTCATATACAGGTTATTGATATTTGAGACTATCCGAAGTGAAGATGGAACGCAATTTTGCTCATACAGTATGTGGTGTATGTTTTGTACTCCTCCACGGACATTGTTCACGGATAAGAAGTAACTAAAATCCGAAATAGTAGCAGTACGTAAATACGACAAATTATGAGCTATTAATATGTTTTGAAATTGATGCCTATATGTTCTCAAAAACTTATGTTGTTAAACACACATGCATCGACTATTTTCCGTACAATGACGAAAATATAGGCAATATATCTTTAAATTGTATGATGTAGTTGATAATAAAAACACACTATAGAAAAAGGCTCAGTATGAAGAAACCTGTCAGACGTGGGAGCACCGGTGATCAGCCGATCGGTGGTCGCGAGCCACCAGTCTGGGAACTACTCCAGGCTTGAGATAACTTTATATTACGACCTCCCTCGGATACCTTAAAAGAGCATTGGTCTATACAGATGGACAGTCATGAGGTATCAGGCTTCCGTGTATGGAATCTGGCCAATCTTGCAGTAAGAGTCTAACGTGACCGCCGTCGTATGGAGTATGAACTTATCAGCACTCCGATGAATGTTTGCTATTTGAGTCAGAATTGTATATTTCTGTGATCAGGCAACTATTGTGAGTTTTTGTGCACCGGTGAAAGTGATTATAAAATGGGAATTAAGCATGATTTTGCACTACCAGTGTTTCGCATCGTGTATTGGTTAGGACCCTGGCAACAGCCTCAATGCTGAAAAATCTTACTTGATTATTTTATACAATACAGTAGTAGAAACACCAAATCCACAATATACCATGCTATTTTGACTACCAAAGGCCTATGGTATATTTTTAGCACAGTCTTGTAATAATTGTAGTCCGTATGCCTGGGCACCTCATTTCTGGCGGGCTAGACATATGCGACCAAAAAAAGCCATGATTGTGATACTGGAAAGCTGGTTGATCTATGCGACGCGCTCGAGTGTATATATGGGTTATGTTAATAAATTCAATTGAATTGAACCGCCACAGTCCGCATGATATGCTAAGATATCAATAGTTGTAAATCTGTGAGTTTTGATATCTAAAGAATAAAAATTCAGGACCCATAAATCATACGCTTATTTTTAGCCCCTGTGCCCCTTATTTTTAAGCTGCTTTTCATATGAATCGGTCGTCTTAGTACCCCGAATATTAAGGAACGTTCTACCGTTTGAAATCTGATTTTCACAGCGACCATTCAGCTAACAAAGTTTTGGTATGCTCAGATCGATTGAATTTTAATCTATTAAACTTCTTTTTAGCAATTTCTTGCGATCCGACACGTGTAAACCATACTATGACGATATGAATCGTTCATCCTTGTGAATATCCATCTATTTTAGATATACGGGACACAAACTAAAAATTCCGCCTACTGTTTGTGACAAACCAGTACAAGTGTTTTGCTAGTATACAAAACTTCAGCAGAGTCTAATGTTTCTGAATATTTGCGTAATAACTATGTAAACGAATACAGATTTTGAAGTTGTGATTAAGAAATGCTATCATGTTGAAGGCAGAGTCAATGTTGCATACAATACGATCGTGAATACCTCAGATGCACTGATTTAGAACGAAATCTTACCCGTCTCGATAAGAGTCTCAATAAGCCATTTGTTGTAACGTGTGTCGATGATTGTTTAAATCTATACTGCTAGTTTTAGGCCCAATTACTGAGTGGTATTAAATACAACGCAGTGGATGGTGCCCATGCAAGCGTTCAGAGCTATATACCAAGGCTGATTATATTTCCAACAGATGTAACATTTACTCAGTGCAAAGTACGCAGGAAATCGCGTGAAAATTCATTCAAAATTCATTCAAAATTGAAACAATCTTTATTTACGCAAAGGAAAACTCTCCCATTTCTTACTTGTCCATTGAATAAGTATGAAGAAACGTGAAAAATCTCGGTATTTATGACGACCATGTTCGACAGTCTAGCAATTGCTTTCGAAAGCAACAACAAGTTCACTCGCTTACCAGCCATTCCCCCCTTGTATATGCCAAACAGAATAAGCCAACCTTGTATTTATTTACATGAAGACTTTAAAGCATCGCCTAAAAACACATTTTGAATGTGCTATTGGTAAAACTAAAAACATGTATTTTGACCACATACCGGTTAACGCAGGGAGGTTTGAATTGGATTCTGTGCTAACACCGAGTCGGGACAATGACAGAGTCCGGAAATAATTCGACTTGAATGGGCTGGTATACAAAGTGTGAAATATTGTATTGCACTGAGTTGACCCGTGCGATGCTTGATGTGCAGCTGCAAGTATGAAGCATTTTGAAAATGATAAGGTACGTGGAATATGGGCCTTTATGCATAGTTTGAACGGGATCAAATGTACATATAAGTTTACTAGATATACACAAATAGAAACGCTTATTCTTTAGTCGAAAAGACTCACAGCAAACGATATGCTCCCTTCAAGTGTCTCAATACTCATGTTTTTCTTTTCCTTTCGTGCATATACTAGTGACCCCATTTGCTTATGACTCTTGCATTGTTGCTTTTGGTAAATATGAAATGTACGTATTATGATACAGTTCGTGTGGGTCCCCTGTGATGTCACATTGCGTTGAGGACAGGTGCTGCATAATACGAATTCGTTTCCTTATTCGCGCAGATGCTAAAGACATCTTTTGCTTATGACTCTTATATGTTCGCTTTTGGTAAATATGAAATGTACGTATTATGATACAGTTTGTGTGGATCCCCTGTGATGTCACATTGCGTTGAGGACAGGTGCTGCATAATACGAATTCTTTTCCTTATTCGCGCAGGTGCTAAAGACATCTTTTGCTTATGACTCTTACATGTTCGCTTTTGGTAAATATAAAATGTAGGTATTATGATGTAGTCCAGGTGGATCCCCTGTATCACATGCGTTGAGGACAGGAGCTGCATAATATGAATAATCAGTAAATTTGTAGACGATACGTAGAGGTGAATATTTGAGGCTACGCCTGATAGTAACCTTGGGGACTATCTCCGTTTAAACACCCTTCATGCTCTATGAAGAGACTTGGATGTTCAGTCTGAGTCTCAGATGATAGTTTTGGTGGATGTTCGATTGCAATTTAAGTTTCAAACTCAATATCGAACACAATCTTTTCGAAGTCGGATGCGCTTGTCCCACATGTCTATGCACAGACTTAATCAGCTCCCTTTTTCCGTCAAATCTATTATATTCGAAGGCAGCAGTACTTACTTAACGATGCTTCTGTATGAGAAGAAGCTCGTTCTAGAATCGTTTGTGTCAGTGGTGAAAAGCGTACAGGCACCAAAGACACCTTTTATATGACTTGTGTGCACACTTTTATGAATATGAAATTAATGTATTCATATACTCTGCAAATCGCGAAATACACTCACACATACATCATTTCTTGTTGTTCTTTCTGTTGCGTACTGTGCCTAGCTCAATTGTTGTAGCTTTGATCAGCCGATGCGCACCTGTGATAAGAGTGTTACCTTGCTTCGTGAACCTGGATGCCTCAGGGGGCCGCTCATCTTTGGACTAAAGTTATGCTCGTCTAGTGCAACATACACTTGAGCTTTTAAATGTGGGGTTCATTCCTCCATTGTATAAATATTCGCTCACCAAGTATTAAGTTTTTCTTGTGGACATTGTTGCCTTCGACGCGGGATGAAAGGAAAGTGCCAAAGGACATCATAACGTCTACATATTCAGGGTTGGAATTGACTTTAGCTTTTGTAGGGACGCGAAGAATTTCGGTGCAATTTGTTTTATTGACTGGGTAGTCAGTGTTCAAGCAGAACAATACAGACGTCTACAACTGTATATTGTCTGATCGAGCTTTACCGGGTATATGATCAAATCATACACATTGCTCGCTACCACCTAGCGTCCATAAAAGTCATAGAAGCTCCCCAATTCACCATCGAATGACGTCGCTGCGAAGTGAGGTATGATGTGATGATTGTGAAATGGGTGCGTCTGTGCTAA